GGCCTAGTTTAGTTAGCTCATCTTTAATACGGTTAGCATAAGACTCTGGATACAAAACATTAGGTGGTTCAGTAATAAAAGAACGTGCAAGAAATATACCTTCACCCTCTTGTTTTAAGTTTTCAAACAACTTTTCTGCTTGCTCATTTTTGGTTGTTATTACAATTTCTTCTACTTCTTTAACCTGCTCATCTTTTTTAGTCTTATATTTATCAAACTTAAAACTACGTAAAAAAGCACCATACGCAACATTTGCTGTCACTTTCTCATTATCTTCAATAAGCACCTCAGCTTGTTTGATTTTTAATCTACTTAACTCACAATATATCTTACCACCAATATTCAATGCTTTGTCTTCATTCCACTCATCCTTTTTACCAAATCCAACAACTATTACATTCCTCCCTTCTGAATTAATAGAGAAAAATTCACCAAAACCTCCATTGAAATCACTGTACTGCTTTATTTTCTCTATATCCACTGCAGTTCTGTCACCCTCAAATAAACCAGTTACTATTGTTTTAAAACTAGGCGAAACTTTAGAAATTGTAATTTTCATCGTTTTTGCTCCATACTTACACTAGAGTAATATTTATCAAATTGACTGAAAAATAACAAGTTTTTTCCAATATGAATCTCATATTTAGCTACTATCTTGCAATCTTCCATCTCCCTTAGCAGAGAGATGGATTCACTGATAAAATTGATAATCTCAACTATACTGCCTTAAATATGCCATTTACAGCTTGATTTTCTTTCACGTCATTCACTTTAGCGCTAGGCTTCGACACACCATATGTAGTACAATCTGCGTGTCTTTTTTCTGCTTCTTCAAGTGTATCAATTTTTTTGCAACCATTTTGCAAAGCAAGGTCTCTTGCAGTTTTTCCGTCATTGTTTTTTAGTAAAGGATCTGCACCTTTTGCTAATAGAGCGTTTACTGTCTCAGTATGACCCTTTTCAGCAGCCCAATGCAAAGGAGTCCATCTATCTTTATCTACTAAATCAACTTTTGCACCTCTTGCTAATAGAGCATCTACTATCTTAGTACAGCCATTTGCAGCAGCCAAATGTAATAGTGTACGTTTTAATTTGATGTTGTCCTCGTCAACGACCTCAAATAAGTGATTTACATCAAATTCAACCCCATTCCATTCTTCATGCTCACCTTCATCTCTTTCCCTTAATGCCTCTTGTATTTTTTCGATTACGTTGTCCTTATTCAGGCCTTCTTTTTCATTAACTGTTC